CTGCTGAAATTAAGACGCAGCTTTCAGTTCCACCTGCACAAAGCACAAGGTAGGAGTAGGGGGAATCCCCCTTTAGATCCTAAGATGAAAAAAAACGACTGCAAATTCATTTCTCTCCTCTCTTTCCTGCTGTGCAGCCGTATTTGCTGCTGGCATCAATGCACTGCTTGCAATTTATTCCCGCACAACTTCTAATCGGGTGCAGACCACGACGAAGCAACGGGACAGACAGCCAACAGGCAGCGTGGCCTCATAGAAGAGCCGCTATGCTGGAATCCTAGAGGTGTGAGCTCAAACTCCTGTCTCAAACCCCGTTCCAACTGTGACAAGATGTCACTTCCCCTCCTGGTGCTTGTCTCAATTAATCAGATCAGCTCTCTGCATAGAGAGGGCTACGCAGTGGTCTGTGCAGCACCCACCCAAATCTGATCCTGGATGAGGACTCTCAATGCAATGCAAGATGCACCGACAGAAAGCCAGCCAGTACTCCCAATTTCCCGGTTCTGAAAGAAGCAGATATGGAGCTGTGCTGATGAACTCACTGACTTCATTCCTAAGAACTGTGCGTTATCCTCCTCATTCTTTCAGAAGGTCCTAAAAATTAACAGAAGTGCCAGAAGTGCTGGTACTGACAAAGCTAGCGGCTCCAAACACAAAGAAAAAAACCGAGACCTTTATAAACGTGACAGCAGGCAACAAAAAAGCTTACTATTGATGATCTCACACTGGAATTGGAGCTGGATTCAGAACAGATTCATCCATTAATGGATTCTGCAAGGCCTGAGAAGCGAGAACGAAGATTCACATGCATAGGAGGCTTTTTGCTATCCTGGCTCTGTGGCCTACTGCAAATGCTGAAGTCAGGGTTTAGGACTTCAGAAAGAAGAGACTGAAGACCTTGCTTTTATTATTGGTTACTGCAAGGTTTACAGAGCTAGGAAAAAGGCGGCTGCTGTTAAAGACAAATGGCTTATCAAGTTTTCGGCTGCTGTGAGCCTCTCACCTACCGTTAAGACTAAGGTTAAGGAAAGGAAGGATCAGAGATCTTAGCTATTGCGGGATCCTATAGGATCTGAGGGACTAGTAAGGAGGCCTGGGACAAAGGGAGTGGATGGCCTACTCTCAGCCTTTCATCTCTGGACTACTGCAAAACTGGGTTTATGATTCAGAAGAACTGAAGGGAAGCCCGAAGAGTTAGATTTATGCCTGGATCCTACACGGTTCATGAAAGCACGCTGATGGCTGTAGCTAGCTCAAGAGGCTGCTGAGTGAATTTGGTGGGCAGCGGGCTTCATGAAAACGTCCTTTTCATATACTGTTTAAGTTGAAGCTGTGGAATGTGTTACCAGAGGTAGGACCAGGTACATTCAGTGAACCAACTATCCATGGCTATTAAACAAAGTGGTCTGTTTGCAGTCCTCCGCTCAGAACAACTCTAAGGCAACGACTGCCCTGTAACTTCCCCTCCTCTGAATACACTGAATACTCTTCCCTGGTACCTCCACACACTGCAAGAACTCTCGAGGTGTTTAGCCTTGCACCTGCAACTTTATGTATCTACCTCTAACCCCTCTTGTCAACGCATGCAATTATACCTCAGCCCTGAAGCTGAGAAGAAAGCTTCAAGGCTGTAACATCTGGCTGGAGCTGGCTTTCTCCTCCGAATCACTCTGGGCTCCCACTGAGACCTTCAGGAGCACGTGCCCTTTAAGAATACACTGCCATAATGTTACGTACAAGCTGATTCTCCCCATAGGAACCTACCACT